CAATTATAAAACAAATGGAAAAGAAACCAAGCTTTTTTTTTCTTTTACAGCGATGTTGAACAAGGGAAGTAAAGGCAAAGTTGTTAATTCAAGAGGCCAAGTAATTTGGAACAATCCTGGATATGGGGAACACATGTTAAGACTGACCAATTTTCATTTTTTCCTTCATTCATTGATACTGTTCGTCAGTTAACGTTTAAAATCCAAAGTGCTCCCATATTTCTTATTCCCCCCAGCATCGTGCAGACAGATGAGAATTAACAAACTTGTTCTTGTCCGAGATCTGGAAAGCGTGACCAAACCCTGACCCTTCCTCCTGCAATTTCCACAGGGCAGGGAAGAAAGGGCAGAATCAATGGCAAGGAAAAAGTATTGCATCCCAAAGAGTTCCTGTATTTACTCCCTTCCAAAGGGCTCAGCAGCTCTGGTACACAACCCCCGCCCTTGAAAAGAGGACAAGGAGATCCTGCTGGTCTTTAGCTGCCAGGGTAATGAAACCTTTAGGTCAGCCTTAGAGATTTGCCTCCTGCACATCGGTTTTAGCTGGGTTTGGGAACATCTTGCAGAGCAGCCGGGGGCTGGCACGTAGATGTGAAAGCCATGTTCCTCATTCCCCAGCTCCACATGGTCTTCAGCAGGCCAGAGCCACTGTGCAGTTGGATGTCAGAACCAGAGCTCAGCTTTAGCTTGGAACTCAGCCAACAGGCAGCATGGAAGACAGGAGAGGTGCTTTTGCACTTGCCCAGAGAAAAGAGTTGCCAGGCAGTGCAGAATGCTGCAGCCTCAGGGAGAACAGCGCCAGGTCAGCCAAGAGGGCAGGCAGGTACCTACTCACCTCTGCTTCACTGAAGCCTAAATTGGTTTCTTTGGTTGTGTTTTTGGTGGTTTGTTTTTGTTTTTTTTTAATTGCTCCAGACCGTCTGTGAGAGCACATTATCCAAACCAACCTTGGAACTGTGCTAAACTTGAAAGAAATGCTTTTTTCCCCCTGTCCAGAACTGTAATTTTACTATGCGAGTTTACTAACTTAGTGTGTTTCCAGTCCCTTTTTCATCTGAGATTTTTTCACATTGCAAACTGAATTTTTCTAAATGTTTAGGAAACGTTTTTATGACTATGTGGAGAGTCTGAAAGCACATAGCTCAGAAAGAACCAACTTAACTTTTCGCTCCCACTACAGATTGAGAGAGGCACTACTCCATGAATAAAACGTGAAAAACCCAAACAGCAGCACACTCCCAAATATGGGGAAAAAACCCCAGCATTGAAGAGCCAAAATAACATACCAGGGAGGAGGCAATGCCCATTCCAGGTCATCACTTGTGGAATGTCAACCACACAGGGCTCCTGCAATAGCACCACTCCCAGGTTGTCTGGGCTACACGTTCCATGGATCACCTGGCCATTAAGAAACTCCTGCACATTACTGATGCTGGAATTCCTGACAAAAACCAGCCATATTGTTTTACTGAGTAAGATATGCAGTGGAATAAATCCCACCACATTTTCCTGAGAACAAGTAATCAGCAGGTCCAAGAGCACCGGACATCAGGAGACAAAGCCAACCGGTGGAGAAAGGAAACTCTCTCAGTGATGTGTAAAAGACTGGCAACAAGAACATGTGAACTGGGCAAGTGAAGTCATCCTAATTCCCTAGCTTGTTCTCAGAACTGGGATCACCTTTGCACAGCTGAATGGGTCCCTCCTACTCATGGAACCAAAAACTTTACAATTAAGCAACACTTACACAACACTCTGCATTTTAAGACTTGTTTTTTTCTGACCGCATCTGTACACAAAAAACTATCATTCACATTTTAACTAAAATACAAAAGAAAACCCACGCCTGCTAAGCTCCATATGCTGTGCAATAAAGAACACTTTCACAGAGCGTGGGAAGTATAAAGTGCTGCATAAGAGGGCTTGACTCACCCTCCGGATCTTGGGGTAACCTGTCGCCATGCACAACCTAAAACACCCCGTAAGGTGCAAGCCAGGAGGAAATGGGACACACTACTTCAACACACACGTACCTTTTACTTGGTGAAAACTGCTTATATACTTCCAAGTATGCACAAGCTGAAATAGGGTTACGTTTATCAGAAGTACATTACATACCAGCCGTGGGCTACTTTCTCCCTTGACGCGAGGACCGTGCCACTAGACAAGCTTTATCGATTCTGATTAGGAACAGAGGAAGTAACAAAGGTGTTGGCTACAAATAGGAAAAATTTAAAAAATAACAACCAACAGATTCAGACACCAATACAAAGATGAGGTAATTACTGTCTGGAGGGTAAATTAAGAAGGAACAATTCTAGTAGGTAGAGTGAATTTTGCAAAAAAAGTGCTCTGATCTTTCCAGATCAGAAAATCCCCAAATCTTTGGCTATAAATTTCTTCAGATGTTTGTACTGTGCTTATTGCTGTGGCATGAAATTATTTTTTGATGTCCAATCAGCCCATCAGACTAACACTCTAAGGCTTTGGGGAGAATTTTATTTATCTCTATGCAATCTGCCCTAATCCAAGACTTCCATTATCCCACTAAAGAATCAGACAATTGGTCTGAGATTCTGACTGTCACGAAAATCTCCTTGAAGATTACACATGCCACCCTCAGAAACAGAATGGGCAATTTTAAACAGCATTTCTATGAGAAAACAACTCATTTTTGTCGTGGGAACAGGCTAAGACTCACAGCGACTCTTCAGCACAAGAGAACGCTGGAGCTGCAGGTCAGGCATCAAGCTGCCTTCTGCTCCTCCCGCTCTCACCCCTTCCCGACAGTTCCATCAGCCCACCAATGCCCCAGGACAGGTTGGGTCACGAATTCCTCACCCTGGGGCAGACTCTCAGACTTCATACAGGTTTCTAAGGGAAGGGGAGCCATGGAAAAGCGGGCCTCTGCAGGTGATCAGCTCTTTGATACGAACAGAGCAAAGAAACTTCAATAACCTGGGTTTTCAGAGGTTTTCTCCTCCATCAGTACTGTCCTATTTCAAAACACAGCACACGGGAAATACCGTCCCAGACGTCTCGAGTCAGAGTGCTGTGTTTTAGCAGGGATATCTGCCAGGCCTTTTGAGGAGCTGTATATGGAAGAGAGAACTTCTGGTATTTGCTGCTAACTGGGCACCAAAAAACCCAAAGCCAAATGGATTCCGAGATTGCAGTGTGGCTCTGCCATCATCGGGAGAGGGCAGACAGCTCCAGCCGCTTTCCTGGATGGCATACTGATGTAGTCTTTACTGACATTTAGGTCAAATATCTACTAATTGTTTTTTTATCCAGATGTTTTTCTAAATTAGGTACTGTAACTGCAAAAATAAAAGCATTCAAGATGCATGAAAAGAGGCAGCTGCTTCTCATCTGGACACTGCTGGGTCTAGATACTATGACAGGCTTACTCTTCATAAAAGCAGTCTTACTGAAAATGGAGAATGAGTATCTGCTGTACCTACATGGACACCTACAGCTGTGCAAAGGGGTTGTTATGCTGTGGTTAAGGAAAAATGTAATGAGCATCAAGACATTTTACACTGCATTACAGAAGAAAACCGTTTGCAGTTTTTTGGCAAAGCTTTGATGTTTGCTTTTCAATCCTGGTGAGTCGATGTTAATCAATGTCATCATGAACACTATAATCCAGAGGGAGTTAGAAGAAAAAAACCTCAAAGATTAAATGTAGTGCTTCAATCAAATTAATCTACTATGCTGTGTCCAACACTGATGACAAAATCATGCTCAAAAAGAATTCTTCCACTTTAAGTAGATGGATAATGAGTCGCTAAAGATCAATCTCTACATTGCGGCCATATAATAGCTACTGCTATTTTCAAGGCTCAGGCAAAAAATTGACATCCTGACTTCTAACCATCTCATAATGGTTAGAAACCACCCTAACTTTCTCCCAAATAGAGAATACCCACTTTTACAGTATGCATCTCCTCTTCCCAGCAGACAGCAGGATATTTACATTATCCAAAAGGAATTGCAATTACTTCAACTACTTTTCTGTTTAATTAATAAAATAGAAAAGGAATGTGGATTTCAAGGGATTTAAACTCAAGCAGGTTCTCAAATCTAGCCTCTGAGCTGGAAAAAGAAAATTAGTAGCATGAGACACTTAAATGATGTAACAACAAAGCAACATTTTCCTGTCTGGCACTTTGCACAGCATTAGAAGGGTGTTCTTAAGGTGATGAGCCAATTCATCTTAACAGTCCAAGAGTACCCACTGATGCCACTACTCCACCTGCAACAACCTTGCACAGCTACCCAGAATTAAATTTTTTTAAAAGAGGAAGAATTGATTTGATTTTAAGCTAAGAATTACAAATGCTTACACATAAATTTTGTTAGTGATCACTACCAGTAAACTGCACAAAGAATAGACATCAGTACTTCCAAAATTGACACCACAGTAATACATCTGCTTGATGCATCAAGAAGGGACCACGTGCAAATACTACACTCCAACAAAAGAGTACTGAGCTTTACATGGTTATTGGTAATAGGTACCACAATAAAATAAGCTGACTTAAACAGTTTGCCCCAGATGATGTCCTTCTGACAGTGTTCATTAGCAAAACCATTAGTAAATACAATGGGAAGCTCAGAACAAACACAATGGTATTAGCCTTCTATAAGCACTCAGAGCTGCACTTGTCAGCAGTGTGCTGTATTTTGGAGCAGATCAAGATTTTTGTAAATTTGCATGGCTGCACACATCAGTAGTCAAGCCCCAAGGTAAAAAAAAAAAAAATAAAATAAAAAAATAAAAGACTGCTCTTTGTCAGTTCTTAACAATAAAATGAACACATCAGGCCAAAATAAATTCTTAAAAGTAGGTCAAAAATACCCATTCATGATCACTTCTGCATTGGTTTCCTAGCAAATTCATCTACCCACACAGACATACGTAATGCGTATCCTGGAGACAGCGAGGCAGAGGAAGAAAACCAAATACATTAATGAGGTAGCTTAGACTGAATAACTGCAGTTAAAAGTTTTATTGAACAAAAGAAGGTAAAACGTGGTAGTCCAAGTTCACTGAGCAAAAGCAGCTCTCTCGCCGAAGCTGCACTTTGTGCTAAATAACCTTATTAACTGAGACTATACAGAGGACACATTATGCAAGTTACCTCAACAGCAAAGGAGAAAACGTAGATTAAATTTGATCTGATGGAACAATTTGGTCAAATTCAGTGGCTTAAGTTAATGTTTCTAGCCCTTATCTACCTATATTCAGTACAGGCATACAACAGAATATACAACTGCACCGAATTCCCGTTTGTTAATAGTGTTTGCTCCCAGGCAAGCGGGAGCCACTTCCTGAAAAAAAACCCAAATTAAAAAAGCCAAACATTTTAAATCTTTTGTTTGAAGCATTACTCAACCGACTCAAGAAAAACACTCTATATATGTTGTAAAAAAAGTCTCGGCCTCTACAAGGTCTGCTTCCTGTATAGCACTAATATTTTAAAATTATTTTATTTCTCCCCTCTGCCTAAGAAACTTCATATGCTCTGAAAGCACCCACAAAGTCAGGTGGGTAAAGAGATATGTCAAAAATACTCTGTAAAAGAGGGAGGTAGCTCAGGCCCCTTGGCAACCTTCTGTCTTAGTTCACATTGTTGTGGTCTACCTCCCCTTGTAATCTGCAGTCACACATAAAAGGATTTCAACTATGAAATTTAGTGAAAGAACGTGTTCAATACAAAGTCTTCAAATTTGACTCATTGGGCTTCCAAATGTAGGCTATAAGGTATCTCACACCCAATACACAACATTAATAACGTACCTAGTTCATACATTTTATAGACAGTATCTTCTCATTTGTTAAACATTTGGCTCGGGTGAGTACATCTGTTTTTTGTTAACCACTTGACAAACATTCTAGGCCAAACAAACAGCACAAATAATGTCAAAGTCTTTTTTTTCCAGTAATTGTATGAAATGCTGTAGGCTAAGCCTAACAGAAACTACTGAAGAAAAATAATAGACTCCATGATGCAGTGCAAAGGTGTTACTACAACATCATAAGTCAAGGGATGTTTCTAAGGTGCTGAAAGAGGAGATTCTCTAGACGGTGACCCTGTATTGTCCTCCGGTGGGAAAACAGTAAGAGTGCAGGCTCGAATGCCACCAAGTGATTCTGGAAGGTCAAATACTTTATGCCACTCATCTTTTTCAGGATCATATTTCTGAACTATTTCCACCATACATCGATTATTCCAAGAATATCCTCCAACAACATAGATTTTATTTTCAAAGACAGCAACCCCAACATCACTTTGCCCACGTAACATGGCAGCAATTGGAGTCCACTGATCTAGAGTTGGTGAGTAATATTCACAGCTTAGAACATCATCATAATCACTCGTTCCTCTAAAGTGATTTCCACCGATAACATACAGCTTGTCTCCTACAGTACACATGCAATGCAGACCTCTGACTGTCGTCATCGGAGCTTTCTGAGTCCATTTGTCTGTGTCAGGGTCAAAACACATAAGTTCCTTTTGGAAAGTATCATGGGTAATTCCCCCTAGAGAAATAAAACACATGTTAGAGTAGTGCTCACCCCAATAAGCAATAAATAGCAGAAACATACATTTTGGTGAATTAATTCAGCCTTCCCTAAAACTCTGTCACATTAGCTTAGATGACTATCACAGATGCGCTCCATTTCAAATGACACTTTTAATGCACCTTGTTCCTTTAAATCTGCATATGGAAAGAAGCATCCATGTCTCATACGGTACTTCATTACATAAGGTGGTACTGGCACATTAAAAGAACAAAAAATTGTTACTTATGTTTCATATTGGCAAAATTATTTTGTTGCTTACATTTGTTTGCTAGTTTTGTTTCTCACCATCAAGAAAACAGAAATCCATTTCCCTTTCAAATTTTGATGCTATGCTACTGTGTTTTAACTGGTCCTATCACACATCAGAATTCTCTGCAGAAAAATTTCTTCACCAACTTGAACTGAAGAGAGAGGGGAAACAGCTTTCAAATATTCTTCTGTTAATAGATGGCTACGGTTCTCTCTATATTTACATTCTTCACGGTACCCTGCAAAAGCAGTTGGAGAGGCTTCAGGGGTAATCTCAGACCTATTTCCCATCACTGGCTGAAGCGTCCCACCTTTCGCAAGGTCGCTAGGCAGGTCAGAAAGCAGTCGCACCAATTTCAGACACTGCAGGCTTATTCGTTACGGTTTAAGACCATAAAGCAACTATATTTGAGGTGCTAAAAAGCATTCAGAGAATAGACTGCTACTGAACAACCTCCAGCTGGGCTACCCGTTCAACATCTTATCATCACCCTTGGATTATTAGCAGATGGAGATGGCGTGGTATCTACAGGAGTTATGAAGGAAAGAACTTCATTCTTCAGTTGAATCAAATATGGAATAACAGGACTGTCCAGACCTGGCACTTAATGACAGCCATAGCAGTGACAGTGCTTGGGAGTGTGTCAAGAGAGGTTTAATGACAAATGAACCAGTCTTCACATTTTCAACCCCAAAAGTGTCCATACTCATGGGGATATAAGGACTGGAGGAGGAAAAGAAAAACCTGTGGGAAATACACAGCATCTACATGAAGAAAAACATAGCAGGGAGCACGTATATGTGCCACCTGCAGTAAAACCAGCAAAATGGGCAAAAAAGTATAAATAGCAGCACAGTGACTAGAAGCTAACTTAAAGGACTTGCCCACAGAAAAATAAGTAGCTGTACCTTATGGTAAATTTTAAAACAAATCCTTCCTCGTCTACTGGCACAATGCTCCCCAATTCAAAATATCCCGAGGATCAAGCTGCTCCAGTGTATCTCCCCACCAAGTCTTCACAGCTAAGCAACCTTGTCCCACCTCCTGCCCTGAATTTCAACGTGGTTTTTAGAGGACATCCCTTAAAATCACAGTAGGAGAACATACACAGGTCTGATCTCTGCAGAGATCATTGATAGACAGGTTGAATTGTCTTCAGAAAGTGAGCAGATACCAGATTTACAGAAAATTTATCGCTCCCACTTTGGAAAAAAATCAAATGAAACTGTAATATTGGTGACATGTAGGACCGAGGATGTCACAAATATAAGACCAGTGAAAGTACAGACATCAGTCGTATATTGTGATTAACACGAAAACTTATCCTTTTCCATTAGCTCAATGAAGGCAGATGATGTTCTTCAAAGTATTAAAACTTCCAGTGCTTTCCAAAAGGTACGAAACACGATGTGTTTAATGATTATTGCTACATAAAGGTATGTGTACGCTGTGGACAAAAAATGTATTCTGACAGTTAAAGTGAATAACTTATTTGGAGTTCAGAGCTATCACTTGTTATATAAAAGCATATTATCTAAAATAATTTTCTCAAACTCTGCAGTATATATGTTACTTGACTGGCTTCACAGGAATTTGCATCACCGCTTATGCCACGGCAAACCTACCTCAATCAGAGAATAATTTCTATTGACTTCCACTGAAATAAGAAAAGTTAGATAAGTAATTGTTTCACAGAGATGGTCACATGAATTATTTACCTGAAATATACATTAATCCCCCGTACACGGTTCCAGCGTGACCATAGTGGGGTTCGTTCATTTTTGCGACATAGCTCCATTCATTCATTCTGGGATTGTAACATTCCACAGTGGCTGTTTAAAACAAATGAAAATATAAAAACACTGAAGCTAGCACGGCAGTTTGGTTTTGAGTACAGTTACAGTGGCAGTAATATATTCATAAACAGAGGAAGTATCAATGAGAAACACTGTTCAGCTGAGCAAGTGTCAAGGGAATTATTGAGCTTTATGTCGACAGACAATACAGAAAAACTTCAGGCTCTACCCCAGAAGAACAAAAGGGGAGAATAAACCCTCTCACTTTCTTGCCTTTCACTTGACTCATTCCCACTTCTACTTGACACATAACCTGCCCCAGCTCATGGACCCTGACAGAGGTACAGCTACGGGACATCACTCTCACTTTCTTGCCTTTCACTTGACTCATTCCCACTTCTACTTGACACATAACCTGCCCCAGCCAGCTCATGGACCCTGACGGAGGTACAGCTACAGGACATCACAGAAAATGGCAAAAGCTGGATGAATTCAGCTTTTCTACCTCTTCCTCTTGTAGAACTCCCTTCACTGTCTGCTGTAGAGAGACAGGGAATCAACCTAAAATCTATCTCAAGAGGATCAAATACATCTGGCTACCTGAACATTTTTCTCGGACTAATGTCTTCAGCAACATCCCACTCCTGCAGAAAATCAGGGTAGATTTTCTGCTTGGTATTTTGCATGGAAACAATCCTATGCCCAGCAACTCTTGCCTCATTTTCTTTTGTCTTGCAAGATTTTAAGTACTTGCACAGCAACATACAGCCCATCATATGCAAGTTACTAATTCAAACAGTTTACAAAAGCCAAGCTTTAAAAAAAATACCAAGATGAAACATCACTGAATCTCAAATGGAGGGGAGCAGTGCCTGTGTCGATATGCAGCTCCATTTATGCCGTTTTCTTTGTGAATTCAAATGTTAAAATGATCAAAGGATTTACCAAATCAGAAATCACAGAGGTTAGTACTAAGTTAAAAAGAAACGAAGAGCCCAGGTGTCCTTGCAGAAAGCATTTCTGAGAAGGAATCGCTCTTTTGAAGTGGGATGGAAGAGATGTGGGGTTGCAGGAAAAGGGCTATACAATAAGCACAGAGAATAGAAATAGAAAACAGATTTAATAATGGATCTGAGCATGCTGTAGAGATTGGCAGCTTGAATAGCACAGTGTGACCAGAGGGGCAAGAGATCCTGAAAAACCCTGTAATGTAGTGACCTTATGAGGCACAAACAATTACCAATAATTGTGTTATCTTAAAGACAAATTAAATCTCATTTTAAATCATTTATATTAAGAATGCTTGTTATACAATGCATCATCTCTGAAGAGATGTTTATGAACTATGCATTCAAAATCGAATCTGTCTTGGAAAGTGGCATTTTACTTGCTCTAGAACAAGCTTTTTATTCAATCAAGGGTAGAAAATCTGGGCCAGCTCTACGGAATCAATGATGGTGACTTACAGTCCAGGATCACATGGAGAATGAGGAGGTGATT